TTCTTTCTTTGTAGGCTCGGTAGGTCACTGTAGCCAGGCCTCAGTCAGCAAAAACTCCATCATAGAAACTCATAGGCTATGTCTACACTGCAGGCTTTTGCCGGCAGAGAGTATGCTAATAAACCACTCATTCGCATTTGTCACACTCATTTGCATATTCTCTGTTGATGCTTTTTGTGCAAGAGGCTTTTGCGCAAAAACAAGCAGTGTAGATGGGTCTGTTTTGTGCAAAAAAATCTTTTACATAAGATCCTTATGCCTCAACAAGGTACACTGCTTGTTTTTGCGCAAAAGCCTCTTGCACAAAAAGCATCAACAGAGAATATGCAAAGATGACCATTTTGCAGGTCCCAGGGCAGCATAATTTCGCAGGGCCCCCCTTTGCCATGACACATGCGTGGTGGCGCCACAACACATGCGCGGGGCTTCTTGAAGTGTGGGACCCAAGGCGGCCACCCCGCTCGCCCTGTCCTATATCCGCCCCTGATCAGCAAAGAATATGCAAATGACAGCATGACAAATGCTAATGAGCACTTCATTAGCATACCCTCTGCCGGCAAATGCCTGCAGTATAGACATAACCATAGAGTACAGATCAGCTCTCCTCCACAGTCTTGCTGGCAAGTGAGCAGCTCTGTTCCTCTTTTAAGCTCCCCCTCCAGGAGGTTCAGTGGGGAAAAGCTTTGTGGGCGTAGAACAATTGCTTAACCTCTTCCTCTCCAGAGTGGGGTTTGTGCATCCCATTACACTGTCTGGGAAAAGATTCATATTTTGATGTCAATGATAATGGAGCATGGACTAAACCAGGGGTGTCCAAACTTTTTTCAAAGAGGGCCAGATTTGATGAAGTGAACATGCGTGAGGGCCGACCATTTTGCCTGACATTCTTTGAACCATTAAAATTAAATGCAAATTAACTATTTTATGCAAAGTTTATTGCAAACGGCATACTTTTCATTTCATCACATGGATGACAAATCTAAACAGGTGTTAAATCACTCTGCCTTTCATATCTGAAGGCCAGATGAAAAAAAAATCCAGGAAGCTGAAATATATGTCAGGAACATTGTAAAGTACATTACATATTATTGGTAATAAAGGTTGTCTATCAACTTTTAAGTTAAAAAAATATGAACAGGAACATAACACCAAGTATACATGTTGTGTCCAAATATATTTATAACTGATTTAGACTAACTGACATTAACTGAGATTTTACAATGTATTCATCTCAATACATATGGATTCGTCGGGGGCCATAAAAGATAGATACTGCCAAATTACCTGTGGGGCTGTATTAAACTGGAACACGGGCCGCAATTGGCCCGTGGGCCGGACTTTGGACATGCCTGGACTAAAAACACAAGGTTGCCTGGATACCTTTGTAGCACACAGATTAAAATTTAGACAGATTCCTCCTGAAGGTAAATATGTATTCATTCTTCGTGCACTAAAAGTACTGTATGTATTATACATTATAATTACGTGCACTAGTTATACCTTGCTAAAAACAAGGTTTGAAAATGGAAAATGAAGTTTATCGGAAACACAAGAGAACATTAAACCAATCTCCTGTCCTAAATTTTGAACTCTAAAGTTGTCAACTTTTGAAAATTGATTGCAACTGAAACAATTGGTTTTGTTATTGATCTGCTGATCGGCTTTGTCTGGAACTAAGAGCTAATACTGATTCCTGTTGATGAAATAAAAATATAAAGAAAGTAGAAATAAAGATATTAATGACATGATAAAATATAATTTTAGGATAGTGACATCTGCTTGTGAACCTCTGCTAAATACTGCACTGTCCTACTACTGCCAACAAGACCCCAAATAAAAAGTGTTGTAGGAGATCATTTCCTGACTTTTTTGACCATGGTACTATTGTTGGAATCTCATTGAGTGTAAGATTCAAGCTACAGATACTGCAAATACAAGCTGCTGACTTTGATTAAGCTACAACTCACAGCAACCAAAATCATGTAGAAGATAATATAAATCAGAGTTTTAAATTGTGCCCTAACTTCTACTAGAGTCAAAAGCAAGAATAAGTGCAAAAAGGCTATTTCTTGTGATGAAGTATCTGATTAAGTTCTGGTTGACTTTCATTATACCATGTAACATTTAACATGGAATGACACTAAAAACATTACAATTGCTATAAATCTTGCATATAAAACATGAAATCTTACTGCAATTACATAGTTATGTAAATTCTCACTGTACTGAATGTTCTGCTTCATTTCTGTTAGTTAATTACATTTGAGAACTATGTAACTGAGTTTCCATTATTTTCCTGACCATGTGATATCTAGTATGATCCAACATCCTTGAGTTACCTGATTGTTCCCCAGAAGTGACATATAGACTATACTTTCTTGGAACTGGCATTTTTTACTTTAGAGGCCAAATTCTGGTCTCATTCATGTTTATAATGCTAGAAGGAACCATTGTGACAATATAATTTACACAACCTCCTCTATACCACAGGCCATAGAGCTCCCCTGAGCATGCCTTGAAGCCATTGGTAAATTTGACTTCAAAAGGATCAGGATATGAACTTTTTGGAAAGCTTTCTTTAATTTCATAAGGCATGCAGGGCATAAAAAGGTTATTATATGACTTTTTTGAAATATCCCATTTTTATTATACCAGTATATTTGCGGTCAGAAATGGAATTATATACATTCAAAAGCACCTCCATAATTCAGGATCCTAAATCCTCCTTTCAAAAGTGACTTCGGACATGAAGGAGCATAAATCACATTAACTTTCGATGAGATGTAGGCTGCTAAGTCACTTTTGAAAATTGTATTGGTAGTTCTTTTATTAAGACCATAATACATTTAATGGAGGAGTCAGGCATGTGATACAGTGATGATGAATGTGAACAGATAGTGGCAAATCACTGTGTACAAATAAATTGATGTAAAAAATCATCTCAACAAGATCCATTATTTGGGTATGTCTACACTACATGGCTCTGTCGACGATTTAAATAATCAGCGGTCGACATCAAAAGCCTTTGTCGACCGCCCCGTTATGCCTCGTGTGATGAAGTTTACCGGGGCGGTCGACAGAGGCTTTTGATGTCGACCGCCGAGCATCCAGACTACCGCGCTGTGCTGACAAACAGCTGATCGGCACAGCGCAGCAGCCATTTTGATGTAAATGAAGTAGCGATTATTTAAATCGCCGCTTCACTTTGCTATGCCTACAAAGCTCATCTACATGGCTCCGTCGATGGAGCCATGTAGTGTAGACATACCCTAATTGATCATGATCATGTCAGAGGAAGAAATTAAAAAAACCTGGTATTATAAAATAAAATGCATCAACCTTCTCACATACTCATTTTAGTATATAATATCACCCAATCAAAATATGAGCTGCATATTTAGAAAATATGTTTATTTATGGGTGGGATTGTCATACACTCCTGCATGATTTAGGAACACCACTGAATGGGCACTTTCGAAAATCTGACCCTATTTCCATAAAATTTAGAGGCAAGCTCTAGCCTTATCAGATTTGTTTGAGATACACACTGATAGCAAACCTCTGTCTGAGATTAATTCCTGGAGATTCAGAACAATGTGCAGATTAAAAAAAGAAGTGGTTACAGTACTCTGTAATTTATATTTCTTCATTTTTATTATGCAGCTTTAAAAAAAAAAACGCTATCTAAGAAAAATCAAATGAAGAGGAAAAAATGCATAGTAGAAAAGCCCATGATTTAAGAATTATAAGGCTGGTAGATATGTGAATCTATGTCATAATTCATGTCTTTCTTGTACTTTTGAAGAAATTAATCTAATATGCAGGTCTTTAAAAACAAAAAAAATTGTTTTCAGTTTTAAAGCCACCAAATCTTTCTTTCCAGTTGATAAAATTCAGCTGTAGGACCAAAAAATGCAGTCACCAAACCAAATGGGTCTCATTTTAAAAGGTGCATATATTGATTTATATTGGGAAAGAACACAAGATAGAGAAATCTTATACTTCATTAGAGGTTGCTTTAGAACAGAAAATTGACAACCACAATTCAGAATTATTCTTATTGTATGCTGTTATGTACAATAATCCTAGCTGAATATACTGTGATACAACAAATGCCCCCATTTCATTTCTTTCCTGATATTAAAGTTTAAAGGAAATTGTGAAGGTGAAAGTGCCTTTTTTATTTAATTATGTTTAAATGGACCTCTATTCAGAGAGTCTATGCAAACTCCTTCTTCTATTAAATTCAATGGAAGTTGTGCCATGGACATCTATGGAAGCAGAATTGAGGTCATGATTTGAAAAACATTATTTTAAATATAAATACGTGTCTCATTTGTTTTTTTTTAATCTTCCTCGGTCACCAGTGCAGCTGCACCTCTATTAGTTATGAATGTAGTCCTCCAGATAATGTGCTGACCTAAGTTATTTAGGCTTAGATTTTCAAAAGAGTCTCAGGGCATTAGGACCCTAATCCCTTGGGTCTAGGTTTGATTAACCATAGTCTATCCAACAGTCCAAACAGCAAGTGATGAAAGTCCTTCACAAGTTACCAGGATGAGGTGAAATGTGAGATTCTGTGCACTGGTGGGCTCCTGTAATGGATTTGGCAGGACTGATGTAGGTGTCACTTTAAAAAAGGAAAACCAAAATCAGATTTTTTTGGAAGAACATTCTGGCCATTTTGGATGGCTAGCTGGTTCAGCTAATGAACCCCATGGATTCTGATGAAGATGGGAATGAGGCTTCAGCAACATTTTACAGGTGATCATGGCTGGGGGCCAGACCACCCTGTCCCATGGTAAAAACCATAGGGACTGAGGGCAGTACTCAGGGGTAGGAAAACTCCCCTGGTGATTTTCTCTACATCATTCAGACTGCTTGGGAGGGTACAGCCTGGGAATAGGCAACCAGAGAGGTAATAAGTGTAATATTTTTCATGGCTTTAGAATATTTATTACTAAACATTAAAAGGAAGCACCTTTTTCACTTGTCCCTAGGCACGGTGGGATGGTTTGACTGGGCGCATTACCTTCAACAAAACAGATGGCTTAAGAAAGGATTTTGATTTGGACATTATTAGTCTCAAGGAGGAAGGAACAGAAAAGGTAAGTAACTGTGCTCAAACTGTGAGCCATGTGGTACAATGGGTGAGACTGTACTTGTTTAAAGGTGGACCTCATGCACCATGAAAACCTACTTTAACAGGGATATCTTGACTCACATTTCTTGAAAAAAGCTCACTCTACTTTTAACATTGCTTGGGTTAAAGTTGAAACACAGATTGGGAGAGAGCAAAGGAGCAAGAGGGGGCAAGGAAGAGGCCCTGCAGAAGATTAAAGCCTGAAGCAGGCTTTCTAAATGAGCCAGGTGGAGACATCTGGCAGCTGATTCCCTACAAGAGAGTTAAGCAGTTCTTAGGGAGAAGAAGAAGACTGACTCTGAGAAGCTGCTGAGCAGTCAGCTTTGGGAAGAGCAGCTACAAAAGGAACCCAGAGTGGTTTGCCCTTATAAGAACTGACAAGAGACTTTGCAAAGGAACCACTCCCTCCCCCATGTCCCCCCAACCCAAGCTCTGAGGTCAGAGTCATGCTCTGAGACTGAATGTTAGGACCCTGAGTGGCTAGGGAATTTCTTTTTTAAGTGCTATAAAAGAAATATTGCAATTAATAATAAAGCAGCAAAAGATAAGGAAGAAGTGAATCATTAGTTCGAGGAAGTCTTAATAGCAACTCCCCCTGGCAGTGCATGGAGATGGCCCATCTGGCAAAACAGAAATGGAATTGATATTTCCACATTGCTCATGCAAGGTTCATCGAGTGCTCCCATGAGAGTATTCTGCTAAGGCTTTCCTAGGGCCCACTCTACCCAAAATGACTAACTCCCTTCAAAACCTTCCTGAGTGGGTGGCCACCACTGGCTATGAGAGGAGGTCCTGGGTCACGCAGCTTGCCCCTTACCTAATCGGATGGGCCTGGGTTGCTTACAGGGCCTTATGGGCAGAAGGAGACCAAGCTTACTACACTCTAAAGAATGCCATATTGGATTGATTTGGATTCTCACCTGGGTCTATCAGAGGAAGTTTCAAGAGGAAACATTTTCAAAAGGAGGCAGCCCATGGGCCATCGCCCAATAGCTCTGAGATTTTATCTCTTGCTGGCTAACTCCAGAAACCATGGGTGAGATGACAGATAGCATTGGTTTGGAACAGTACTTAAAAAATCTTCCATTAGCAATAAAAGTCTGGGTACATTGGTTCCACCCAGCAACACTGCAGACGCCATGGAGATTACAGAACGATTTGTGGGAGCACTGCTCCTTCCTGCTTCCCCACAGTAAGTCAAGAGTCACTGGAGCTCCACTGGTTTTCAGCACCCCTGGAACATAAGGGGCCCACACCACTTGCTCCACCCCTGAAATAGTCATGCTACCGAGGAAAAATGAAATTAGTTGTGGTCTACTCTGCTGAGATTAAACAGTGTTCTTTTGGATAAGCTTCTGAACGTGGCGTTACATTCAAGAAAAGGTCAAGTAAAATCTCATTCCATCAGGATAGGCTTGAGAGTCTTGTAAATTGCAAAGCCACTACAGAAATAATCTGTGTTAAAAGGTCTTGTCTCCCTTATCTTCTCTCCCTTATATTACAGTTTACTAATTGTTCTGTGGATGCAAGTTGGACACCTATCCAGAGCTTCTTTTTGTTAAATAAAACAAAAATAAAGAATCCACATTTGTAGGCTTCAGACT